CTCCTACCACACAGATGACCGAGATGTAAGCMAGATGAACGGCTTTTCCTGGACAAGTTTGTAAAGGACTACACGAACCAGATGATGAATTATACCTGGACTGGTTGAGGAATAAAAGGAAGAAAAGGGACAAAAGGGACAAAAGCATATCTGTGTTTCGTGTTTTGAAGAGTCTTTATTTAATTAAAACACTGTCAAAACCTATCAAACAATCATCATATACTATGTACACATTCATTAAATTCAGGTTAATTAAATATCTAAGGGGATTGTTGTTATACCATCCTCTAACACTTTTCGCTTGGGGTAAAAGTATGAAAACCCATTTCTGATTTGATTATATGTGTAAACACTGTTATTCACAACTCTGAAACCTCTGTTTACACCACTACTACTTTGTTTAGTTTGCAAGACACTAAGGTATTTGTCTTTGTTTACTTCACTACATCTCTTTGAAACACCCTTACAACTGTATTTATCGTTCGAAYCAAAGCAGTAGTAGGTTTTCGAACAAAGACCTATGATTCCCTCCCCTGACCACTCCTCTTTAAATAGACCCGGAGTTCGCTTATCGTATGCTGCATTTGCTGCACTGTCGGTTCTCGGAAACCAGTTGCATATATTTYGATTATAATCCTCTTTCAACTCGGGCCTCACTAATTCCTCTATACTGTTACCTGAGATAGCGATATAGGCCGAGTCCGTATCCATTTCACAGTATTGGAAATCACTTCTGTCTACATATTTGTCAATAAAATCAAAGTAAAACTGAAGCATACGCAATTTTGCATAATGATATACGAAGAATCCGATCTGAAGAGGTAGATTTAACTTAATGTTTTTCTTACATGACTGCACTTCGTATGTATTTTTATCTATGCTGTCTATCTGTSTAAAGAAGGGTAAATTTATCAGTCGAGAGGCTTGAGATTCTTCACAGAACTTGGTATTGCGATGTCGTTCTTGATCGGTAATAGTCTTACCATAGCTATAGTTTCCAACCTGAGAAAAAWTTTTTTTCTTTCTTAGACGGATAATGATATCGTAGTAATAAATGTTAATGTTATTTACTTTCACTTACCAACTTCATGGTATCAGCAATAATAGCCTTGTCAGGGTCCACATCTCCAGCACGCCGTGCATTCGACACTGCCTCGCCAAATGGTTTGAAACGGGGAACGGGGCTGTATTCAATTACTTGATAGATCCTGGTTACTTCAAGTCCGTGATCCAAGTACCATTTTACGAGGGGAGTGGCCAGCAGGATCTTTTCTCCAAAGTAACTACCAATTAGACTCTGGCGTGGAGTGGACATGATGTTCTGTTCTTCAGCAAAGGCCTTCATGTACTCTCCAATGTCGTCACGTTGGATCCTTGTATTCTTAAAGATAGGACACATCTCACTAAACTTAGACTTTAGGTATTCAGGAACACGTATATCACATTCTATACAACCAAAGAGACTTCCATTCTTGACTGCATTCAAAATTTCCTTCTGAGTCAGGGTCCATTGGCTATCGAGTGGCCTTTCAAACCGTTCTTTTAAGAAGTCTCTCAAGATGGGATTGGTTCGTCTTAGCTCTCGCCGCTGACATTCCCACATTTCTACTAAGGTATATCCCTCGTCTGTTATGTACTGGGAATTTTCCCGGGTCTCTTCTAACAGCTCCGCCATGGGTTTCTTCCTTCTCTCGTTGTACTCTTTACCTTTATTCAAATAACAATTATGCCCATGCCACCAGCAGCCTAAACAATAAAGCAGAGGGGAAAATGGTGTTATCTTAAACAACGATAATATTTCCAAGCACTACTGTCACGATAACCCTTTCTCAGCTATACATTATTCAAAATTGAAGCACGTTATTGTTGTTCTGTCCATCCCTGCAAACAAATGATGGATGAAGTAGTTAATATACAATCGAAAGCAAATATCTTACCGTGAAATTGATAGACCGTCTTGGAGAGACCATGGAACCCATCTACTGGTAATCGCCTGTACCCTATTCTTTTTTCTGTGTTATTCATGTTGTGTCTGATGAGGATATTTCTCTGTCGAGCCTCCCACTCTAGCCACTGTGTTGCCATCTTGATGGAACTTTCCTTCTTGAAATTATTTTCTTCACGTCGACGAGTGAAAACTCCAGTTGGCATATCTTGCATGATGGCCCACAGGTAAAGGGCGTTAGCGTCGTATCCAACAACCTTTTCACAGGGGACTAAATTCACAAACTCTTGACCACAGTCATTACACTTGTAATGATGTTGAATACCACGGCGTTCGTGAACATTGATCACATGGCGTTTCACATCAGATTTCCTCTTGAATGTTTTTCGGCAGTGAGGACAAGAATGACTTTTTTCGCCACGAATTTCTTTTTCATGACGTTTCAAGTCAAATTTTCTCTTGAATGCTCCACCACATACTTTACACCGTAAAAGTGTTTTCTACAAAAATATAAGAAATAAATAAAATAAGAAATCGAACCGTAAGCGTTCTTACAGAGGCTATAGCAGAACTTCATAATAAACGAAGTCTTACCAAAGGTTCATCTTGTGCATGACCGGCTCCAAGTTGAATTAACTCGCTCCCCAAGTCCTGTAGATCAAATTAGATTTTTTTAGAGCTTCACTTAAATATATTTACTTTTCAAGGAAAAATAAGTTTCTTAGCTTACTTTTTTGCCACTCTTATTCTGAACTTCTTCAGGAATATCTTCTATGGCCTCATACGAGGCAGTGGTAGCTTGCCCCGTAGTGTTTCCAACTGGATTCTAAGAATTAAGAAGAAAAAATCACAGATTTTAAAAGCTGTTTGCTAAATTTCCAAATACCTTCATTGTGGAAAAGTAACTACTAACTAACGTAGCAAATATACTTCTTTCTTTTTTCTTTTTAATGTAGAATTCTTACCTCAAAATCTGCCGTCGTTAACTCCAAAAGCCGATTTAGTGCTGAACCAATTGAAGATTCCGGGATCCCATTCGAATCAACAAAACTTTCCCATTCCGACAAAGAGTTGATTGCACCAAATTCTTGATCCATGTTGAAGTCGAAATAGGTTGGGCAATCGCTACTCCACCCTTTTTATAGGCTATACATTTGCATTGACACGAGACGCATGTACAAACACCCCACACCCAATGTCTGTATAATTTTTGCCGAGTCACGATGGGTTGATTGTTCTATTAGCGCCTTTTAACACAAAACCTATCAAAATGATAATTTCTGAAGACTCGTTCCCGCCATTTTGATAATCTATGAAAATGTTATGGCATTGACGTAGTTTCCTGTCTGTTCAAGACCAATCAAAAGCGAGTATGGTTCAGGCGCAATGCAAATGAGTTCAGGCGCCATCCTGACGTCATTTTCTGCTTATTGAGTGGACCAATCAGGATCGTGATCGGTTCAGGCGCATTTCAGGCGCGAAAACCAGGCTAATTCTGCTCACACTTTACTACTAACATATCTATCATTCAAATTGTCAAGGAAAACTTGCTCGTGTAGATGCGGCTTTAGAGCAAATGCTCTTACCAAGATATCATTGCAGGTCCTTCTGTGCTATTTTCAAGGTTCTCTCTAAGAACATGTAAACCAATGTCCATCCTACGCCTCTTAGCACTGCTACCTACAAAAAAATATTAGACAAACGTTAGAAAATGGTCAGTCTAGATGGGTGGTCTGTCGAAACAGGTGATCTGTCCAGAGACGTGGTAAGTGAAGGCAGGTGGTCAGTCAAGAAAGGTGGTAAGTGAAGGCAGGTGGACAGTCAAGAATGGTGGTCATTCAAGAGATGGTCAGTCAGGTGAATTGATCAGTAAAGACAAGTGGTCAGTCAAGAGCGGTGATTAGTCATTACAGGTGGTCAGTCAACAGACGTGATCGGTCAAGAGAGTGCTCAGTCAAGAGAGGTGGTAAGTCGAGAGGTGATCAGTCAAAACAGGTGGTTAGTCACAATAGGTGGTCTGACAGGAGAGGGGGTTAGTAAGGAGAGGGGGTTAGTAAGGAGAGGGGGTTAGTAAGGAGAGGGGGTTAGGGAGGACAGGTGGTCAGTCAAGACAGGTGGTCAGTCAAGACAAGTGATCAGTCAAGACAGGTGGTCAGTCAAGACAAG